ACAGCTTTAAATGGGAGCGTTCCCACTGCGCCGCGGCCGCAGCGTTCTACCTGCTCCGGTCCCTTTGTTCGTCGTCGCCGGAGGGTCGGCGAAACTACCCCTCCAGACCCCACCCCTTTCCACGGCGGGCGGCGGTGGCTGCGTCGGAAGGGCTCTGCTGCTTGAAGGAAGCGCGAACGCCGTGGCGACGTGGGAAGGCGCTCTACTTGTCGGCATGTGCAGTTGATGACTCCCATTTGCACCTTCCGCGAATTGCGACCACCCCCAGCCAGCGGCCTAACGCACCGCCGGCCTGCGTGGATTCATTCAAACACTCGTTTGGTAAGTGCGGCTTACCTTAGCTCATTTACGCGTTCCGTGAAGTGCAGCTACCCCAGCCAGCGGCTCGGCCGTAGTGCACCGCGCGGCCCCGCCCGTGGGCTTAGAGGCTTCGAAGATGACAGGATAACAGTTAAACGTGAAGGCGCGGCACGTGTGGACGTGTCCTGTTTCAAGAGCGGAGCAGACGTGACATGTTACATCATTCAGGGCCGCAGGCTGCCCGCATAGCCGATGGTCGACACCAGGGCCGCCCATCTCGGCATTTCTTTGTCCACACCTCATGAATTGGACCACGATAGCGCGCACTACCAGGATGTCGTGTCCGGAGAGGCTGCAGCGCTCACTCAGAGGCGCACTGTGCGTTTTCAGCTACCTCAGCGCAACGAGTGCCACGCCCCAGTGACAATTGGGGTGAATTCAACGGTTTCATAGCAGGTACCTGTTCTCTCCCTTCGATGTGCCGAGCAAAGCTGCTCAAGCTCAGAACATTTATCAACATCAATAATAACTCATTGAATTTTTGTCGTGTTCAGTGCATTTTTTTTCTGTAAACTACTATTTAAGTTTTAGATTTAGTTATTAGTATTCACCGCTCGGGCCCGGCACGCATTTTGTATGTTGTAGTTTTAGAGTTATGTTTTCTTCTAGTTTTCATGTCCTTTCTTCAATTGTAAGTTTTTTATTTATTAATTCCTAGAGGCAATATAAATTAAATTAACATTTAAGCTATCCGCTTTGCCATTTCATTTCGGCCGATCCCTCATTTCCTCGTACGAGGTGGTCCTCCAGCCCTTTTCTATTAGTAGCCCTCTGGCTACATCGCATGAGCTACCGGAGGCCGGATGAGAGTGTGTGCTGTGCCTGTCTATAGCCAACAGTACGGTCCACGCTGTTGGCTCATCATTGTGCGTGGCGCCGTGTGAGAGGTGGGTACCAGGTGAGTACCGCGTCTGCACGCGCTCGCACGACATGGAGGCGTGGTGCGCATACAACATGATTATTTGTGGTTATCACATAATTTAACACCATTTATTTATTTGTTTTTCAGCTTAATTATCCATTTAAATTCAGAACCTAATTTACTACTATACAATTGCCTAGAATTTCAAAGAAAACATTTTTTTTTTCAAGAAAAAGAGGGTTTCCGTGTAACTTGTACTTGATGTTAAATTATAAAAATAATTTTCTCAAAAACGTCTTCAATATTTTTCCTTAAAATTTTTTCGACGGGTAGGAAAAAGATTGCACATACAAAAATTACGCAAACTCTGAAGTTTCGGAATTTGTAAAAAACGTAAATACCAAAATTATGAAGTTAGCACTACAGATGTTTTACTCAATGAAATGTGATCTTCAAATTTAGATCTTTAAATGATTTTTTTGAAAAGATGAGCAGGTCTGATTTCCCCGCACCTCTTTTGCTAAAAATTTTCAGGAATTATGAAGTTGCAATACAACATTGAGAACACCGCCTCATGGTAGTTTAGACTTCTCATTCCACGGGCGGTGTTTGTCGGCGTATGATTTTTGCATGTGTTGATTTATTAGATTTAAATGAAAAAAAAAAAAAAAACAATTTTGACGTCTATTACTGTACATTTTAATTGTACAGTAATAGATTTAATTGTACAGTAATAGATTTAATTGATTTAATTGTACATTCCATGCTTCCTTCTCTTCTTACAGGTGAACTAGTATACGAATATTTAGAAGGTGATGATATTGTATAAACGAAAATATGTTCTTTTTTCTACCGTCAACTAACTGAACAAGCAACACCTTGGTGCCCGGAATCGGCTAAAAACAATTCCAGGAGGCCGAGACTTGGTCATGTTCTACGTCCCCAAGCGGATACTTGGAACCTGCATTTGTGGCGACTATGACGTCGCTGTCGTGGCTTCTGCAAGGCTCAGGCCTCGTGGCGAAGGCGGACATGCACCGCTTCATGAAGGAGTGCCTCATGAAGGTGGGCAGCCCCGAGGAGCATGCCAAGGCGGTGGCGGATAATTTGCTGGAGGCGGACTACCGCGGCATCTTCAGCCACGGCTTCAATCGATTGGGTAAGACGTAGTCACCGTCAACATTCCACCAACGAAATTGAGACCAGTAGTGTTTAAGAGCGCATACGGTGTTACGGCATACGGCTTAAGAGTGTGTACGACGTGTAGATCGGCGCAGGATCTCATCATCTTGCGGAGGGATGATCACCGCCTCTTCCCACGAAAAACCATGCACTACACGTTCCAGGCTACGAGGTTTCGATACTATTACGGTTACCATCAGGCGTACCTACGTTTGCAGGTTCATATCCGATCGAAGCCGTGAATCTTAAGGGCGAAAACATCCTTCGTACTCCTTCATTCGGAGTGGAAGTAAAGCCGGCTATCCCATGCAGTATATTTACTGCATGGAAAAGTTCCTTAAGCTCAAAAGAAGCCTCTGAGCTACATTCAAATCGCCTGTTTCGTCGCCTGAAATGATACCTTCTTTCTCCGCAAGATAGACGGAGCGTAGCGAAATTTGCGTGGCCAGACAGAATAGCGCGTGTTATGGTTCGGCTTACATCACGCAAAATGAGGCATTAACTAATTACCAGATTAATTACAGAAGCAGTTGACGCGTCCGGGAACAAGAAACAATCAATAGAATGCCCCTTCGGCACAGTCACTCTGCGGTTCGCGTACCAAGTGTTCTTCTGCCGAACACGAATCCTCTCTGACTCTCCTACCTGGAAGTGTAGTGCATGTAAGGAGGGAGAGAGAGAGAGAGAGTGAGACACACTCAAGAATGATTGAGGAAGAAAAGATTACGTACCCTAACATGGCCCATTTGCTAGGGTCTTGCTTCGGCCTTCGCGTGATATTGAACGAAGAAACCTCAGAAAACTACCGCCCAGAGACGCCGGCTACTAGAATTTTCTTCTGGTGAGCGGCGGAATTCTACCAAGCCACGCTTATTCGAAATCCTACTCCATTTCGATTCGCACTCTAAATTGGAATGGCTTAATAAAATATTAGTCGCTTAACTCGAAAACTCGGATTTTACATAAATAATTTAGGATTTGAGCTGCTGTTAAGTAACTACGAATTTCTTGATGATGGTATATAACCTTGTTATTGTACAAGTATCACGAAAGACTTGATTTCATTGCAAATTTGATCATGTCTTTCTAATTCCAATAATAAAATGTCAGTTTACTTGAGGATATTTATTGAAAAAAACTATATCTTATGATAATGGGTGCTCGTATTTTATGGTATCCAGAGAAAACATGAGACATGTAATCCAATGGGAGCCCTAATTTTTAAAACAATGAGCTCGACCCATAGACAATAAGGATTAATTCCCTCCTCACAAAATAAAAAATATATTGCTGTTAATTTGAAGAAGTAAAACATTTTACTTTCTCTCCAATTCCGAACTATCGAAATAATTGCAAATATGCACCGCAGGCCTTGATTGACCTTTAATTCGATTCAATTTGAAAACAAATCCCTCGTACGCCTTATTTCGGTGGGGAAGGGAATTCATCTGTCTTATGTTAGTAGATTTACTGCATGTAAAATTTTTTCAAACCTAAATGAAGACTGAGCTAAGTTCAAATGACTGTTTCGTCGCCCAAGAAATACCACCTTTCTCCGCTAGGGGGTAAAAGGAGCTTAGGGAAATTTGCGTGGTCAGACAGAAGAGCTGGCCTGAGTCTCGCCACGTAAAATGATCAATTCAATTCATGGCTGAAGTGAGTGAAAAAATGGCAATGCTATTATATATCGTCTTTCGTCATAGTCCGAGAAAGTATGATTGTTGTAGCCCCTTCAGTTTTATACATTTTGTATGAAAAATCGATCCCCAATTAAGTCGGAGTATGGGGCAAGTTACCACAGTTGCCATATTAGATTGTCGGTAACGTAGAACCGGGAGAGGTGGGTCTAGGCATCAACTGATATCATTGCAGTCCCTCTGACCGGGAGGTCCTTGGTTCAAGTCCCGCCGGTAGGAGGTTTTACGACGTTAACTTGTCAGCTACTTCAAATTCAGACGCTGTCTGGAGGAGAAGTCTAGCGGCCGGCTGTTTTGATAGGTAGTTTTCCGTGGTTCTTCGATCAATACAAGGCGAATGCTGGAGCAGTACTCTTAAAACGGACCGCTCGGATTCTTTCGTACCTCTTCCTCGTCGTATTCTCGTTCTCTACATCCACATGCCGGGATGCCGATCGGGAGCTTAGAAATTCTCTGAGCTGGAGCGGAGCCCCGCTGGTGGGAGATACCTGGTTAGGGAAAACACCACTAGCCGACGGTAGGTCGGCGCCAGATCTCGTCATCAAGAGGGGGAAGATAACCGCTGTTTCTCGAAAGTTACGGGACTAATAACCTTAACAGTTGACGCGTCTGGAATCCCAATCAGTTTTACATATGCTTACTGTCTCAATCCTGAGGTTGTTTCCTTGCATTTTTAAGATCTGTTGAAACTGAATTGTATCATCCACGTCATCCTTTCATCCAACGGGTAAGACCACCGATATCTCCGAAGAAACACAAGCACTACACTTAAGAGGCTAATGACGTCATCTGTTGACGCGCTTGGAATCATTAACGATCGATCGATCGATAAGCTCCGCTCGTGAAGCTTCCCCGCGGGGCCGCGGGGCGCGTGTTCCGCAGATCTGCATCTGTCGCAGATCAAGAGGGGCCTCTGTGACTCGGCGGCCACGCCGGTCATCTTGTCGGAGTCGCCTGCGACAGCGTGGGTGGACGGGTGCAACGGCATGGGGCCCGTCGTGGGCAACTTCTGCATGCAACTCGCCATGCGCAAGGCGCAAGAAACGGGCGTCAGCGCGGTCGCCGTCAAAGGTAATCGGAGGACTCGCAACTGGTGCATGCGACTCGCACGCGCAAGGTGTGTAATGTGGGCGTGAGCGCGGTCGCCGTGAATTGTAATCGGATTGCTCGTAACTGATGCATGCTACTCGTGTGTGCGACTCTCACGCGCAAGGTGTGTAAAGCGTCAACTCGATCGCCGTCTTCGCAGCCGTACATGCGACTCGCATGCGCTCAGAGCATGGCACGGACGTCACCGTGGCCGCTGACCAAAGTTCTCATCAGTCTCGAAACTTACGGCAGCGGTGTGTAGGAGAATATCTGTGATCAAATATAAGAAATTACTAGCATTTATGCTCACAAATTCATAAATATATAACCAATTAAACCCAAAATATGATAATATCAATGGAATGTTTTTACTTGATAATTGTAGAAGTGGAGACACGATTTTTAAATCCAGGTTAGAACAAAGTGTTACAAAACCTCGCGCCATCACATCTTTGCATAGAGTGTTTTTTGCGCAAATATCTCAACATTTATACTGCTATTATAAACAATAAATTCCATTAAAGGGAAGTTTCCTCAGTGGTTTTATGATACCAGAGATTTTTTAATATTCTAAATGACATTGGCACAATTATTTCCAAGACAATCTTAACAATAACATCAAAATGTTTGAACAATTTATCGGCACAGTAAAAGATGCGAAAACTTAATACATTGTCGATTTTTCTTAAACACGTTGAAGAAACAATTAAATGAAAACATACGGTACAATCAGAATGTATATAATAATGTAAAAACAATTTTGTATAACGTAAATAAATAATAAAGGTGGTCATGAATTCTTACCCTTCTTGTAAGGAATTAGGACTAAGTAGGGCAGAGATTCATCTTTATCTACACATTTTCTTTTCATGCCCATATTGAACATTATCATTATTATCTAACGTTACGGAAATGTTGAACATGGATTTATGGATTCATCCAGTAAGTATTATAATCGGTTCGGTATACGGTTGTGCTATTGAAATTAATGTAACTTACAATGGTTTTGTTAATTTTCAATTATATATTGATGTTGTTTTCGTTTACAGGAAGCAATCATTTTGGAATTTGTGCCCATTATGCCAACCAAGCCCTCAAAGATGGATTAATTGTGAGTATGGGGAATAATTTAAAGTCACATATCTAAAATATAAAATTAAATTTAATATAAAGGGAAAAAACACATTTTCTGGTTATACTGAATGGACTATATTAATCTCTTTGGACACTGCAGTTTACTGAATCTGTGATTTGACTTGACAAATCTATGATCCAATATTTAAGATATTTACCATTCTTCCTGGAGATACAAGAAAATTCTAAATGGGTGGGAAATATATTGAATATTTTGGTTCTGGCTGTTTGGAAATAGGAGCTTTGAAGTGACTGGAAATTTTGCAGCAGTGCCTTTTCTTTTTTTACGTTGGAGAGATAACATTCACTAAACAGTTTTTCAGATAGATAATTCTATCTTTTATGAAGCATTACCTTAGGATTTTTATGAATTTTGTTTAGAGCTTCTAAAATAAAATCATGTGTACCTTCTCAAACGTTCTCATAGTATCGGAATGTTTGCAGGGATTTGTTTGTACCAACACCATTCCCTGCGTGACGCCGACGAGGGCGAGAAAGGTGAGCAATTGAGAAAATGTAGGGATGAATCATTTCAGGTGATAAGCAAACACCAGTGTGTTGCTTGTTATACAGATTCCATTTTATTGTTCGCCGAAGGTTCGGGCTGCGTCACACGGAGAGTCGAAGGCTCGCTCGCCCAGCGAAGCGCTGACTCAACTGCCATGCGGGAACAATCGTTGCGCTTAACTTACCTTAAAGGATTTTCTTTAAAGTGACGTCCTACGGGTCAAAAGTATTGATTCTGACATTTCTGATTTATCCTTTGAAGTTTCAAGAAATTGCTATAAGCACCTGTTGTGCGAGACGCCTCAAACATTTTCTTGGAGGTTGTTGTAACCTGGCCGACATTTCGTGTATCTTCTCTTCTGTCAGGGCATGGCGTTTTCGACATTTTTGTTTATCAATTAAATTTCCATGAATGCAAAGTTTCTTGGCGAGGTTCGAAATTGTCGACCGATGAGGAATATTCACGATCGTTTTTTAATAAAACTTGTGTCACTTACTGGCAGACGTAAGTGGAACAAAGGTGTCGTAAACCAAATTCTCCGCATCAAAGAAAATTTCATGATGCACATTTGAGCGGCCACGGGACACTGGTGCATCGTCCTGTCGCGCCGAACGAGGAACGTGCCGGATGAACGGAACACTTGTTTGCACGTGCGCGAATTAGAACGTTATGGCAGAGCCATTTCGGAAAGCATTCCACACCACACGTATCGGGAGTAACCATGTGACTCATCTCGTGTACGATGGTAAAAATGGGCACATGGCACAGAATTATTTACGCAAATTGAATGAATGTGTATTGTACATTCACGTTTCAGAATGCCGGACTCGGGTCGTACTCGGGTCCGTCAGCATTTCATTCTAAGGTCAAAGACTCACCCTCTGTGCTAATCCACTGGTGTGTGCGCCCAGCCCTTCCTGGGCACCAACCCGCTGTGCCTGGCCGCGCCCTCCCTCTGCGGGGATTCCTTCGTCCTGGACATGGCCACGTCGTCCATCACCCTCGGAACGGTACGTGCTCAGCCAGGCAGGGCTTGCGCTGACACAGGAGTTCATGTTACCTGCGACTGGCATAACGCCATCGGGGTAAAAGTGAATGCAAATAATAGTAGTCTGTAAAGACTTGATTCCTGTGCTCCAACTTGGTGTGCCCCACCTACAACTGAGCCCGGCACCACTAGCGCCCCCTTGCCTCGCACAATAGATCAAATGAGATAGAGGCCAATAAGACAGTTTGTTATTTATGTCACTTGATCCACCGCAGAGAGCTATGAATTGCACTGCCAACGGCCCTGTTGCGTTGGGGTTGGCAGGTGGACCTGATGAACATCGTGGGCAAGCCGCTGCCGTCGGACTGGGCGTACGACCGGCAAGGGCGCGTGACGAGCGACCCGGCGGAGGCGCGGCTGGCGGCCAGCCTGCTGCCGCTTGGCGGGGAGGAGAAGTCGGCGGGCTACAAGGGCACCGGGCTCGCCTTCATGGTGGAGGCCCTCTGCGGCATTCTCGCGGGTGCGCGCACCGCCACGCCACGCCACGCCACGCCACGCCACGGCCATCCCCCGCCACGTCACGCGGCGCCACAACACGCCACGCCACTCCACGCCCCGCCCCGCTTTGACACGCCACGCCTCGCCACGCCTCACCACGCCTCGCCCCGCCCCGCTGCGACGCACCTCTCCGCACCACGCCACACCTCGCCTCGCCTCACCACACTTCGCGACCCCTCGCCACGCCTCCCACTCCCCGCCACGTCACGCCACCCCCGGCGCGCCCTGCCTCACTGCGCCTTGCCACGCCTCGAATGCCACTTCACTCCGAGCCACGCCACGCTGCGACACGCTCTCCGCGCCACGCCTCTCCGCAACACGCCACACCTCGCCACGCCACGCCACGCCTCACCACGCCACGCCGCCTCGCTGCGACAGCCACGTCACGCCACGCGCACGTGCCTCGCCAAACGCACTACACTTACGGGATTAATGCTCATAGCATTTGACTCGACAGGAAGCACTAATCCAGCGATGTCCAACTCTTAAGGCCTGGAGGGCCACAACTGAAACCTTTAATGAGGTTGCGAGCCAGATTTTCAGTACTCTGCCGATCCACACCTGGCTTGCTCGGCTGCTCTGAAATGGGGGTGGGGAATGCGGTGATATCAGGCCATACCATGCGTAACGAAGTGAATCAAATTGGAATGATTTTTTTCTGAATTTACTAGAAAAAATAATTAAATATAAACGTCGCCCTTTTTTACATTAATGTTGACCCCAGCTGGGCGCATGCGCAAGGGACATAATGTTCTCGCCATACATGGTTGCACGGCACTTTCACTATTGACTCATAACCGTTCGTGGCTCAAAATAAATGGCACCGCGGGCCGCCAGTTCGACAACCCTGCACTAACCGATCAGTCAATTAGACGCGGGAGACACAGAGAGAGAGAGAAAGAGAGAGAGAGAAACTGACCTTAGCAGTTGACTCGACAATCACTAACCAATATATCATACGCGGCGAGAGGGAGAGAGAGAAATAGAGGGGAAGGAGAGAAATCAGACACGGCGAGAGAGAAAAAGAGGGGGAGGGAGGGAGAAATAAGACGCGGCGAGAGAGAGAGAGAGAGAGAGAGAGAGAGAATGACCTTAGCAGTTGACTCGACAATCACTAACCAATCTATCAGACGCGGCGAGAGGGAGAGAGAGAGAGAGGTGGAGGGGAGTGGAGAGAGACAAGCACATGGTGGGCGTTGCAAGAGGCCCCCGGTCGCGTGCGCAGGCGGGGCGTACGGCATCGACATCCCCAGGTGGTTCGATAAGGACGACGAGCGGCCCGCCAGCCTCAGCCACTTCTTCATGGCCATCGACCCCAAGATGTACGCGCCCGCCTTCGAGGGCCGCCTCTTCGAACTCATGGCGCAGCTGCGCGACTTCCGGACGGTAAGTCTTCTTCTTCTCTCCCCCCCTCCCTCCTGCTTCCACTCATGCTTCTTCTCCTTCTTCCTTCTTTCCTCTCCATCCACCGTCTCTCCCTCCAACGGCTTTCAACTTATGATTATTGTTTCCTCCTTTTAATCCCCTTTTGCCACGTTGACTGATTAGTGATTTCGAGTGCGTCAAATGGTGAGGTCGTTAGACCTGTAAGTGTAGTGCATGTTTAGTTCTGTAAGTTTAGTGCAGCCGGGTCAAGCTTTAAGCCACCGGCCGGTCTCCCGGCTTCTGTTGTAGTGTAGTGCGTGAGTGTGCGAGTGAGTAAGGGATGAAGATAAGACAAGGAAGACAAAAGAAAGATCGCGCGCGGTCCGTGGTCGGTTTGTAAAGGTACTGTTCGGGAATAACAAGTTTACATGGTAGTTAACTATTAACGAAATAAGCATTTCAGTATTTTGGTACAAAACTGCCTTGAAAGTAACAATTTTGCGCAATATGTAGTCTTTAGTAGGTTGTGTTTACTAGGTCCAGTTGCTACTCTAAACTTCAGTTTTACATTCAGTAATATTTATCCCATTTCCTTTTCCATCTAAACCTATCCACCTCCACAACTTTATTTAATGTTTGTTTTATTTTATCTTGTGGTTCGGTGCTTAAAAATCACTTTGTGTTTCCCCACGCATCATTTGGTTCGACGTGCTGCTTCATTTGCAACTTAATTTTGTATAATAAAAATGTTTCTTCTCGTGCATTCGAAGAGCATTTTGCACTCCCCTCTTCTTTCCCCATTTCGGAAAATACTTTACTACCCGGTTAAACTCCTGAAAATATCTACCAAATATAATTATTCACGTTGGTCTGTGTTTACCGAGCAGATGAGTTTCGGTAACTTATTTGTGTAAAAAAAAAAGAAAATGACAACGCATTATAATAAGAGAAATCTGAATATAATCTGCTTAGAGTTAAATGTTTTTTTATTCGACCGAGTTGGCACAAGGCGCTGGAAACGTCCGTAGTATTTGTTTCGTTTATTCGAACGTACAAAGTATGAGAAGACAAGCTCAAAGTGAGTAATATTCAACAAATCTGTTTATAATCGTACTCATTCATTATTGGGTATCATTTTAAAATTATTACAGTAATTAACCAAAAGGGTGAATGAAGATGTATAATAGCACGAGTGACATGTTCAAGAAATTGAGCAACAATGGAAACTAGTTTTCTTATTTGCCAGAAGTGTAATTATACCCCATTGTCCACATTCAATATTTTTTTCGTTTTCGTTTAAGAATAATTAAAATTTGAGAATTTGAAGCAAATCCTTACTATTCAATCCATGCATTCGATTATGTTTTGCATCTGAAAAATATCGATTTTGGATAGGGCTTATGATTGTGTAATTACGATCACCATATTTACGTAGATAAATAATTGCAAATATAAGATATTGAACGTATTGTGGATGAAATATTGGAAAAAGCTGGCAAAACCATGGGAGCATTACTTCCCACCATACGTCAAGACACTTATGAGAGAGAATACATGTATAAATGTTGGATATTAAAAAAAATCATACTGAGAAATGTTTATGTCGTTCTTTTCAAACGAGTAACTACATCCGGCGTTTCATTCTTTCATATGTGATATGTTAAGAACAAATGTTTTCCATATAAAACATTTATCTATTCATGTTCAATATTTTAGAGTTCCGTTAGGCACCTAGTGACAAACCTAGGTTTACTTTACCAATTTTGTTTTATTCACTCAATGTTGTTTAGTTGTAGTTTTCTAATTGCGATGTATATCTTTAATCATGTGTCATAGCCGACTGGAACAACCTTGGCTTCGTCAATGTAATAGTGAAAAAAATTTTGACATTTTTTTCTGAATTATGGTTGATAGTTGTTGAATTTTAATTGCACACGTGCCAAAATGTAGTGATTATAAACAATTTTTAATTAAAATAATGAGTATAATTAATTCACTAAATTAAAAAACACCGTACAAAGTCAACAATTTTTGAAGGCGAGTTATCTGCAAAAATAAAACATTTTAGCGGGTCATGTTACTAACACCCTTGCGACAATCAGATTGAGACGAAGACATTGTGGATTGAATCTTCCTAACTAATGAAATTTTCGCGAGGTTTTAGTTATATACAATCAGAATTGATCATGCAATTTCCAAAAGACATGCATTTGAGTGGAGCGATTTATTGCGCTTCGTAAATGGTATTAATTTATTGTTATTCAATATAGAAAGTAATATTACGACCAAATGCTCTCATGGATAGCTTTTCGGGGCCTTTCCAAACAATACCGTGCGAATGTCAAAGTAATATCCTAACAAACAAGCAACGAAATAGGCACAATCGAACTTTTCTCATCTTCAACTTTCATCTTCCCTGAGACAAACACACTCGCTTAACATTTAATATACTTTCCAACAGCTGTAGAGAGTACCCCGGAAAATTGAGTTTGTTCCGGAAGTGGCAGATCCACCGGGAAAGGTACATGATCGGGACAATACGACTATTAGATTACCCCGTAATACATGTCACCGCAAACATCATTTTCACAACCTAAATAATAGGTACAATTACCATAGCGGTTTATGCACAAGAAAACGTATATCTTTCAAAAGATGTATGTATGCAGTATATATCTATACTTTTGTCAATTTAGAATATGCTTAATACTACTTTCGTGAACAAACGATATACCATCGCATTGAGGTTTTATCAATTTATTATCCACGCCTGGCTGTAGACGAGACATGTTGCGTATTCCAAACCCTGTACCTCACAAAGCTTGCCTGAAATATTCATTCATCCCGCACAGAGAACATGGCCGATATCAATTAAAACTGTACATATTCGTACAAATACATGCTTTTTTAAATATTTTATTTCCAATATTATCAAAATATAATATTTCTCATGACCGTTGTGCAACATCTATCAAAATAAATAATAATCTCTCCACGAACAGCGCAGAAGACTGCAATTTCAGTACGTGCTTCGTCGCGTCGTGTAGTAATGCAGCGAGACAGGTTGACTCAGAAGTGGAACCCCCGAGTGCCTGCCCCTCCCTATTTCCCGCGTGAGCGGAGCGCACTGCAGTTGTCGTGTTAGTTCGTTGCCGCGTCGTGTTTTAGTAATGCCCAGCGAGAAAGGGTTGGAAACCTCCAGAAGTGAACCCCGAAGTGCCTGCCGGCCCTTATCCGCGTTCGGCGGAGAGCCACTGCCAAGTTGTCGTTTGTAGTTTGTTTGCGTCGTTAAGTAATGCAGCGAGAGAGGTTGACTCAAGAAGTGGAACCCCGAGTGCCTGCCGCCTTATCCGCGTTCTGCGGAGATGCAACTGCAGTTGTCGTTTGGTAGTTCGTTGGCGTCGTTTAGTAATGCAGCGAGACAGGTTGACTCAGAAGTGGAACCCCCGAGTGCCTGCCGCCTTATCCCGCGTTGAGCGAGAGCACTGCAGTTGTCGTTTGTAGTTCGTGGCGTCGTTTAGTAATGCAGCGAGACAGGTTGACTCAGAAGTGAACCCCCGAGTGCCTGCGCCTTATCCGCGTTCTGCGGAGAGCACTGCAGTTGTCGTTTTGTAGTTCGTGCGTGTTTAAGTAATGCACGAGACAGGCTTGACTCAGAAGTGGAAACCCCCGAGTGGCCCTGCCTTATCCGCGGTTGTTCGCGGAG